GATTGGTTCAAGGCGAACATCAAACGACATCTTTGCATCTTCGTATCTCGCTCTATCTACGTTGACGTAAATCGCCAGCGGCCATATCTTGCCTTCGGCCTGGTTGAACACCAGTTCTCTGCCAGGTAACTAAGACTGATATATGTCTGGCCGAAGCCACCAGTGATACTGCGCCCCTAATGGTTTGTCCAATAAATGGTTCCAGATCCCCGTGATTGATGGTTTGGCATCCCATGCTTCTGACGATTAGCTGTTCCAACGCTCTCAGCATTGGTCTGAATGAACACCAGCTCTCTACCAGCATGGCTTCCAATGTCTATCTGAGTCAACGCTCCCAGCTGCCTTCATATGTCCTTTGGTGTGGTTCAGTACCAGATCTCTGTCAGCTTGGCATCCAAGGCATCCTACGTTTCCGACGTCTAGTGGAGTAGTCGCCCCCACCGGTCCTCATCTGTCCTTCGATCGGTTTGAATATCTCTGTCAGCATCATTGATAGCATGGCATCCTACGCCCCGACTTATTTGACGCTCCTAGCGGCCATCATATTCGGTCTGGTTGATCACCAGTTCTCTGTCAGTGGAGTCGACGCTCCCACCGGCCCTCATCTGTCCTTCGATCGATTTGAATAACAGGCTCTCTGTCTGCAACCTTGATATAATGGCATCTTACGCCCCGACATGTAACTGAAACAACGCTGCAAGCGGCCAACATCTTCGGTCAGGTTAATCACCAGGTTTCTGTCAGGTAACTTAGACTGGTATATGTCTGACTGAGGTCTCCAGTGATACTGCGTCCCTAACAAATGGTTCCAGATCCGCAATGTTAGTTTGGCATCCTTCGTTCCTGACGTTTAACTGTTCCAACGCTCCCAGTGGTCATCATCTGCCCTTCGGTCTGATTGATCACCAACTCTGTCAGCATGGTATCCTAAGCGTCCAATGTCTAGCTGAGTCGACGCTCCCACCGGCCATGCTTCACTATGACATCCTTAGCTTGGCATCATATACCTTCGACGTCTGACCGATTCATCGCAGTCCACGTTCCGTTCACTAGCAACTGTCTCCCTCATCTGTTGAACTGTTGAACCTTACTGCCTATCTGTATAAATATTAAAAAAGCTTGCATAAACTCATCTCCTTAAAAGAGTGCAAACTCACTGGAGATGTCTCGTGTCATATGAAAATATCATTGAACTCATTTTTGTAATTTAAGAAAAGATGAGGAGGTTTTATGCCTGCTGGAGGATGGGCTACATTGTAATGCTCCACAAAAAAATTAAAACCGGATGGCTTACACACAACCCAAGAGGACCACCCGTCGTGCTGTGCGATGCCCGGCTAGATTCTGACCAATAAAACAAGCTCTCGAACTGTTTATCAAAATGCGGGAACAGGGGAGCAGGCTCGTCACGAGCCAAGAATTGTATCCCTCTAACTAAAACCGCACTAACTAGACCCAGCAAATCCATCGAATATCCAATTTCTCAAACGCGATCGAGCCCTGATTTTCATTACAGCCAGAAACCTACCAACAACTCTGATTCCTTTCCACTTTGGAAGATGGAGAATTCCCACATTTACAACGAATATACTGACATTCATCGAAACGTGACCTTAGACCCTTTCAATCAGATTCATCCAACACATGGTTTAGGGATAGACGGAATTCAACTCACACGTTTATTGGTTTGCTACAGCGCCATTCCTGATCGTCTCCCTGGTCGACCAGTCTGTATCTCCTAATTATCACTTTTCTGCCTAGTGTGCCATGCTTGTTCATACTAGTTCTCTTGCATGCAAGGCTTGTATCGTATGCGTGATAATGTTTGCACCATTGAGCAATGTCAAAATTTTAAAAAATCTCAAAAATTTAGTTTTCGAGTTTCTTTATTTTTTTAAAAGGGGAATGTTTCTCAGAGTCTTAAACTATGTAAACCATCGATCGAGTTCCCACTTGCTGCAATTACGGCCTCCACACGCTTCCGGAATGCACGGCAGGTTCTAATAATGTAGTCTGGATCCATTTCTCTTCAGGTACGGGTCAATGTTTTTCTGAGGCTTGCTGTACTCGGGTGGCGTTTAGAACAGGCCTTGGCCTTCATGACGCGCCATATTGAGTAATCCAGCGGATTAAGATCGGGGCTGGATGGCGGAAGATGTTCCTACAACCAGTTTTGAGTGCGGTTCGAGGTGTGGCACGGAGCCCCATCTCGTTGAAATACAAAATTTGGCTTCGAACCTTACTGTTCTTTGATGTAGACCCCCGTGTTGACCTTGTTGCCTTCTGGAAAGAACACCGGGTCCATTTTTTGCCATCGGAACCCACCAATCCAAACACCATTACGCTAGCAGGATGCTTGGTCAGATACACGTTCTTGTGCTCGTCGGCCACGTCTTTTACCCGAAAAGAACTAATATACCGGTCGGTTCTGGAATTTGATACGGGATCTACAGTAAACATGCTCTCATCGGTGAACAGGATTACTGGATTTTTTCGCTAAAGGAAGTTCGAGATTTTCTAGCATCGTTCGACTCGTAGCTCCCGGATGTGTTTGGTAATCATGTGAGTTTTTTCCGTGCCATCGACTTCGCCCCGCAATCTTCCTTTACGATCTTCGGTGCCGTAAAGTCACTGATCCCGTGTTCCTTTGCCATTTTCCGGGATTCACCCGAATCTTCCTTTTGATAGCAGCGATAACCCTCGGACGACCTGTGGCCACCTTCGCAGATAGTTGTCCTTTCTATTCTCGGTCTAAAACCCTTTTGACTGTCCACCGGGACACTCCCACGGCGATTGAAATGTCTTTTTGCGACATTTGCGCGTGGACAAATCACGAATACGCTGCCACTTCGTCATGGTTCAACTGTCAAACTAAGTAAATCATTTTCTTTAATACACAGCCTACTACGGTATGAGCTATAGGTTACGCATGCAAAGAAAACCAAGGCATTGTATGCACAGGTGAAACGGGAACCTTATTTGTACGATGGTGCAAGCATTATCACGCATACGGTACTCACGTTCTGGGAAGCTTACGCTTCGAAGCTTTCTACGAAGTTGAAATATTAAATAGGATACCAATGGTTTACACTTATGCTGGTTCACTAGCGCTGATAATTTTTCTGCTGACAAAAATCATCATCAGCACGAAGGAAGTATTGAGACAATGCGATGCGATGCTGATCATCCTGAAACCAAAATGTCAGTCAGTTTATGCTGATGATCATTTTTCCCAGCAGCTGGCCCATCAGCACTCATTTAAATCGGGTATAAGCTATAGTTTTACCCTCGAATTAAATCCCGATCACAAATTTCGGTCTGCTTTGATGCCGATGTCAGTGTTAGTCAATATGATCACAAACGCAAACATTTTGCAGACCGGTGTCTTAGTAGAAAGCGACTGCTTTCTTACCGCTTGAAAGTAATCCAGACTTTAAGATCACAAGGTTCCCAAGTAACAATTTGGGTTTTATGCAGGTTCTGTAGACCATGATTTAGACTTGTAGAATACTTTAAAACCGCGATAAAACTTGCAATGTTACTTGGGTTGGATACTTGTCTACTCAGATAAATTTTAAGATCATAGCAGTGAATTTTTTTTAAGAACTTAGCCTTGGACAGATTTCCAAGATCTCGCATATAGGTATATTTTCTGCTATGGAAATTTTAGGCATTTTACTTCTTTCAATGATATGAAATGTTTTCGAGCTTCAACATTTTCTTTCTCCTGACATGGCTAGCTACATACTATTAACATTATATTTTTCCTTTTCCTTAAATTAGTGGGTTATTGGGGTCAGGGTATATTGCAACAATGGATTCTAACATTTTGAATGAACCTATCGTCGACATAATTCTGACTACAACATTAGCAGCTCATTATTTTAATAATATGGAACAATATGGATGCCGTATTATGATAAGTGGACAACTATTAGAATTTCAGTCTTATGACCCATTCGGCTTTGTGATCTATTCGACCTTGTGACTCTTTCGGCCTAATCACCCATTCGGCTTAAATAATGGTCTTCGGCTACGTCTTCACGCTGCAAGGTGGCACTATTTTCTGGATCATCAAGCGATTTGTAGGATTTATTTCTGGAAACACTGCTCCTTGGCATCCGAAGAAAGCAGACCCCCACCCCTTCCTTCGCCGGAATGTGCAATCGAAAATTCCTCCCTGAAAGGTTACTGACAGAGAAATAAATCTCCTTCCTCCTCCGTCCTGAAGATTCATCACACCAGATGGAATTTTGATAATTTGACAATCTGATTACCATCGTGCTGTCGTGGAGATACACACACACACACACACACTTTTCTTTGCCAAAACACACTGCTACCTTTTGCGAAACGAGATCCTTTCACATCAGCAGCGGAAACGTTTCCGTCCAAAAAACCCCCCTCCCACCCATCCATCCGGCATCCGGTCAAGTTGACTCTGAACTCATCGTAGCTTCATGGCGTAACCAACTGGGCGGGCAAACTATTTTCCTCCCGGCCAGCCCAAGTGCGTGTTTTGCGTTTGTATCCAAGGGTACCCTTATCAGGAAACATTTCATCGATGATGGGCTTCTTCACCGTATTCTTCTTTTCCGCATTGTTGCTCAGTTGTTGCTGCTCCTGTCAGGATGCTGATGAGACTGGTCAATATTGCCTCTGTGCTGGAAAATCATGGGATGCTTGGAGTGGGCGGACACTTGTCCAACAATAGGCGTAGATCACCGTCGTCCTTGTTCCTGGGGGTGGTGTACGGATGGATGTTCAACATGTTTCGTTTAATTTCATTGATTGTTACTCAAGTGGAGTCACATTTTCATGGCATGAAGAATCTCCCTCGTTATCCATCGGCTCTGCCATACGGGGCTCGACTTCAAAGATTAGATTACGTCGATAATGAATTCATGGTCGTTTGCACAGGGGGCTTTGTATAATTAAAATTTATGTTAAGCTTGTTCTGAGTTAATTGGAGTCTAATTCCGATGAATTTCAATTTGCAGATCTTCGACGTTAACGGTCGTGTGCTGACCACGTTCGGTAGCGAAGGCTCGGACGAAGGGCAGTTCAAGTTCCCGAGGTAAGTGGACAATGGCGTGTGGTGAATCACTGAAATCGTAACAATGGCCAAAAGAGTGCATTGCCTTGGGCTCAGCACGGTGTCAACTACAACTGACCAAGCGGTTATGTCATCAAAAAAAAAATGCCGTAAATGAGACGGAAAAAATGTGGTTTGTTAGCCATTCAGTAACTAATAGCGATAAACTCAATCGGAGATAATACGTCAATCTCGATTTATCTTCGATTTTGCTAAGCACCATGCCGTGTTATCCTCAATTTCAATCTCGGATTTCACTTTAATACGCGGATTTTGACGTATTAGAGAAAATCTTCGATTACCAATGAGCTGGATTACCGAGATGAAGCAATTGGATAAGTTGTGTGAGTGAAACCACTGTACAATACAAGCAATAAGGGACATCACTAATTGAGTTTACGTTGATTTTACGGTTTACTAATGCAACAATATTTCACGATCTGCTTCACCTCTCTCTCTGTACTCATTGTTCTATTACGGATCTCACAGACATATATGTATCAGCAACAAAATCAGTGCAAACATTTCAAAAGGGTGAAATCGCTATTCAGAGTATCGCAGGTGTTAATATGGACCTCCGGCTATTTTTCGAGGCTTTAGGATGATCACGCATTATTCTGAAGAACTGTCCAACAATTCAAATCACGTCTTTCGAAAACTCTGTCATTATACCAGGTTGCTCAGAAATTAGTCCAAATACCTTCAGGATTCCAAAGATCTTAATAAGAACTTTGGATATTTTTCCATGACTTTAGGATGATCACTCAAAAAACATGTCACGCTGAATAAGAGTTTATTCAGGTAAAAATATGCTTCTACAGGTAACAATCAATACGAAACTATCGATTTTAAATTGGCTCACTAATTGACTAGCCTATTGGTCTCAGGCAAATCGATTAACGTACCCCATTCTAGTCGAAATTCTAGTACTAAACAATGTTTGTTTGATTCGCTATGAATGTTTGACAGATAAAATGAGGGGTTCGTGGATTTTCCTATGTTTCGAGGGGTGCATCGATTAGCTTGGGACCGAAGATAGTACCAGAGCTGAGCCAAACAGTTGAGTACTTTTCTTCGGGCTTACTAGTCTTAGAGTTACCTCTATGTTAATAACCTTTATTCAGATCAAATTGTTTGTCAGGCAGACATTATCCTGAAGATCTAGAACAGTTCATTAATTCAAATTATGTCTCTGGAACATTATTTCATGATACCAGGTTACTCAGAAATTATATCATAGACCTTAAGGATTTCAAAGATCTTAATAAGAACTTCTGGATATTTTTCCATGACTTTGGGACGATCAGGCATAGTTCTGAAAATATTTTAAACTGTATAACAAATCAAATCAAGCTGTATTTGATCTTCATCACCGGTTCTGGGCACACATAATCGAAAGGATACAATAGAATGTGTGAGGATTTGAAGCTACGTGACATTGACCAAATATTTTGTCATGACAGAAGGTACACCATAGCATAAATGGCAATGCACCCGTGTACTGAACGGGATTTGTGAGTTCAAATCTCACCGCTTACCGTATAGTTCTTGAGATCTCAAGACAATATCAGTACCAATAATTTCAGGAAGGCCCAGATATTTTGGGATGTTTAAAGAGCTGTAAAGTATAATTTCAATAAATTCTGGATAGCTCCATGATTTCTAGGAAAATGTCGAGAAACTTAAGTCCAGAGAACTCATGAGAAATTTAGAAAACTTCACACATAACAGATGTCCAGAAATTTTCAAGGATAAAATCCTCAGGAACTTTATTAAAACTGCATGAACTTCCGAGTAGCTTCAAGAACATCATGGAAGGTAAGAGAACCTCAGTACAGTTCAAATATCGTTACTAAAACTCAGGGAATCTCCAAAAACTTAAGAAAAGTTCTCAAATATTCAGAGAAGTGCTGAGAGCTTTAGAAAAGTTTTTAGATTTTAGGAACTTTAATTATTTTTTTGGAATGTTCAGTGTAATTGAAGGATGATCAGAGATCTTCAATGCAGTGTCTTTAATTAATTGCTGGAACATTCAAGAATTACCGAAAAATTATTTGTAATTCAAAAAATCTCAGAAATGTTTCAAACATTTCATGAATATTTCGGTGTTTTGAGGGAATTTCCATCAATATCAGAAAACTTGTTGGTTATTCTGATAACATCTAGATAATTTAGGGGAGAATACATCTCTGGACTGTTCAGGAATGTTTAGAGATTTTTAGGGACGTTCCATGACCTTAAGTTTTGAAAATCTCAGGAAAACATAGGAATTACAGCAATGAAATTCAAGAAAATTATGGGAACGTTTATAGTGTTCTGAGAAATTCTGGGAAGCCTTGAGAAATTGATTGGAGTTTTGAGATATTTAGGGCAATTTTATCAGAGATACATCGAATACTTCTGATAAGTCTAGAATTTTAAAGATCTTGAAGAATCATTAATTACGCTTGTGTTTCCATTCCACGGATTGGGATATTCATCGCGGCTAGTTTTAGTAGATCGTAAAACTTTTTGCGCTGAACGGAAGAGTGTACAATTTGTTATCCCATGAAGAAGGTCAAGTCCAAAGACTGAAACGTCGAACACTGTGTACTTCCCTTAATTACGATTATGGACGTTCCTTAAAGGGAGCGCATGAATTGACAGCACTGTTTGTAGTTTTCTGTGTTTGGAAATTTCTTTCGTTACTAATATTCATTCTCATATGAGAGACGATGCGTCGAATTTGCTTCGCATGCTTTGAAATTAAATAAATAGGATAATAGGATACTCAGGAGCAGTGAATCTAAACACATACATCAACCAACGATACAGACAAAACGGTTGCTTCGACTACCATAACTCGATCGGAGTGGTAGAAGGATAATGATATACAGCTTCCCCCCAAAGAGCGCGAGCAATACGTACCGCATAAATCGAATTCGCGTAAATGGAGTACACGTAGCATATGGCATTTGACCTAATAGGGACCAACATGGAATATCTCGCGATCCTGGACATATAGAAGGTTACTGTCTCCGGAAATCAGGAATCAGGATGACATCAAGAGACCAAAAATCGATGTCCAGCGCTATTTTTAATTCCAAGATGGTGGCTTCCGGTGTCTGAAAAAGTGGGAAATACTGCTAAATACTCTTCAATATGGATATTTTTGGAATCGGCATGACGTCTAGAGACCGAAAATCGATGCCCAGTGCCATTTTTAAATCCAAGTTAGTGGCTTCCGGTTTCAGAAAAAAGTGGGAAAAACTGTACAATACTCTACAATTCGGATATTTTCGCAACAAAGATGACGTGCAGATGTCGAAAATTGAAATTCCGTATTGGCGTCAGCCATAAATTTTTCGTTCTTTGTAGGGTATTTGACAGTTTTTTTTTTAAACAGGGCAATTTTATCGTCCCCATTCCGAAAATACCCATATTGTTGGGGTATTTAACATAACTATCCAGTTTATCTGTAACCGAAAGCTACCATCTTGGAATTCAATATGGCATCGCACAGTAATTGCTATTCCGTAGCTATCACCGCCAATCCCGAAATTCCCACATTCATAGGTATTCGAGAGTATTTCCAACTTTTCCTTTATCCGTTAGCTGCCATTATGGATTTCATGACACTCATTTTCTATTTCTAGATGTCATTCTCTAGACGTCATTCCTTTCCAAAAAAATACTCATATTGAAGGGTATTTGACAGTATTTCTATCTTTTTCTGAAACTGGAAGCCACCAGTTTTTCTGAAGTCAATGGCAGCCATCTTGCATTACAAAATGGCGTCAGACATAAATTGTAGTTCTTGTTTCGAAAATACCCATATTGTAGGGTATTTGGAAATTTTTCCGAATCTGAGAGCCGCCATCTTGGATTTCAAAAATGGTATCGGACAGCTTTTCAGAATACAACATGGATTTCAAAATGGCGTCAGACATCAATTTAAGGTATGTACGCGTCGAACCAGTTCCAAAAATATCCATATTATAGGGTATTTGACAGTTTTTTTTTTTCTGAAGTCACTGGCCACCTCTTGGATTTCAAAATGGCGTCGGACATCGATTTTCGGCATCTACATGTCGTCACCGTTCCAAAAAATATACATATAATAGGGGATTTTTATAATTTTTCGGAAGTCAATGGCCAATGGTATTCAAAAATGGCGTCAGACCTCGATTTTTGGGATGTACGCGTAGTACTTGTTCCGAAAATACAAAAAAATTGATGGTTTTTCTGAAATTTTGAAGCCACCATCTTGGATTTCATAATGGCGCTGGACATCGATTTTAGGTTTCTAGACGTCATCCCGATTCTGAACATATCAATAATGAAGGGTATTTAGCAGTATTTCCCACTTTTTTTCTGAAATCGGCAGCGCCATCTTTGATTTCAAGATGGTGCTGGACATCGATTTTCGGTCTCTAGACATCATCCCGATTCCGAAAATATACATATTGAAGGGTATTTGGTAGTAATTCTCACTTTTCTATATTGAAGGGTATTTGCACATAACATATTTGGAACTCGATCATCAAAAATCGACCCCATTTCAATGATTTCAAGTGGTATAGAAGGACATTGATTTGCCAAATTGATTATACCAGCTGTAAAATGGGAAAGGAGATCAAGGGGCTTGTCAATTCTTTTAAATAATTCTACCGTGGTTCATATTTATGTTCGTTCTTACCATTCCTGAACTCATGTCTTACTATGTCCTTGGCCATTTATGTGCTTTATTTAACTTTAACAAATTCATCGCCTTGATTCACACAGCAAAACTACTGTTTTCTACTGTGTTTCTACTTGCATCAAACTTTGATTTCATTGGGTTTTGTAGGAGGAAAAACACGAGCGTGCGAATTCGGAATTAAGTGCTTACATTTTGAAGTCCAGAGAGAAGCAGCAAAGTTTGGAACTAGAGTCAGAAGTACTATTTGAAAAATATGCAGTGTTTTGAGCTGACTTTGACGATAAATGAAATCGAACGCTTA